TCAAGTATATAAGGCAGAATTCTAGATGCCTCCCAGAGCAGAATGTTCTCAACATGCAGCAAAATTAAATACAGTACTTCAGATGGGGTCGGACCGGCCTGAAATACGCTAGAGACTCAGGGCCTTTGATTTAGTCTTGCTTTATGTTTTGTCTTTTTTAAGTTTTTAAACTTTATTATGGATACATAGTAGTACATACTAATGGGGTACAAATGATCAAATCATGGTAATTGAGATCACCTCAAGCATTAATCATTGCTTTGTGTTAGTAATATTGCATTTCCATTCTTATTTTAAAACATACAAGTTATTGTCAATTAAGGTCACCCTGTTGTGCTGCTGAACACTGGATCTTATTCCTTCTATCCGACTGTATCTTTGTACCCATTCACCAATGCCCTGTATTACCCCAAACACTGATAGCCTTCCCAGGCTCTGGTAACCATCATTATACTTCTATCTTTAGAAGTTCCACCTTTTTTTTCCACTCCCACTTAAGAGTCTGAAGACACAACGCCATATGTGAGTGAGAAGACACGACGTTTGTCTTTCTGTGCCCAGCTGATTTCACTTAGCTCAGGTGCTCCTGTCCATTCACATTGTTGTAGATGACAGGGTCTCATTCTTTTGTGATGGCTGAGTAATAGTCCGTTGTGTATACACCACATTTTCTTCGTCTGTGCTGATTCCAGAACTTGGTCACTGTGAACAGCTGCAGTCACCCTGAGGCTGCAGAGCAGGCGTCTCCAAACTACGGCCCGCGGGCCGCATGCGGCCCCCTGAGGCCATTTATCCGCCCCCCGCCGCACTTCAGGAAGGGGCACCTCTTTCATTGGTGGTCAGTGAGATGAGCACAGTATGTGGCGGCCCTCCAACGGTCTGAGGGACAGTGAACTGGCCCCCTGTATAAAAAGTTTGGGAACGCCTGCTGCAGAGATCTGAGTGCTGACTTCTTTTCTTGTGGGTATGTTCCCAGCAGTGGGACTGGATTACATGGTGGCCCTGTTTTTAGATTTGGGGGTGACCTCCATGCTGCTCCCCTGTGGCTGCACTAATTTACCTTCCCACCGCAGTGCTCCACCCCCCTCCTGGCCGGCGTTTGTGATTGCTGTCTTGGCTAGAAGCCGTTTTAACTGGGCTGAGGCGGTATCTCACTGTAGTTTTTATTTGCGTTTCTCTGATGTTTAAGGATGTTGTGCATGTTTTCAAATACCTGTTGGCCAATTTTGTGTCTTCTTTTGAGAAGTGTCTATTCAGATCTTTTGCCAATTTTTTAATCAAATTATTCAGCTTTTTCCTATTAAGTCGTTTGAGAATATGTAATAACCTTATAGATTCTGCTTATTAATCTCTTGCCAGAGGCGTAGTTTGCAAATATTTTCTGCCATTCCGTGGGTTGTCTCTTCGCTTTGTTGACTGTTTTCTTTGCTGTGTGGTAGCGTCTTAGCTCAATGTGATCTTGTTTGTCCATTTTTTCTTTGGTTACCTGTGGTTTTGAGGTCTTACTCAAGAAGTCTTTGCCCAGACCAAAATGTCCTGGAGTATTCTGGCCTATCAGACATATTTTCCCATTTGATTAGTGGTTTTAGATACCAGCAGGTGTTACCCGTATAAGGGTGTCTTAATTTATCAGTCCACCCAAAGATACAGATGTCAAGCAGAAAAGGGTTGAGGGCAGACTCGTTCTTGGGGTGTAATTCTTCAGCTAGCACTGCGGGCTGAGGCCAGACCCCGCCCCACATCCCACCTACCTGGAGGACCGGCAGGTCCTGGGGCTGAGACCGGACCCGCCCCACGTCCCACTACCTGGAGGGCCGGCAGGTCCTGGGCAGGCACCCAGCCAGCTGCTCAGGCCCTTACATGCAGGTGAATTAATAAAAGTAGATGCCATTTTTCTCTTAAATATGGAAATGAAGTGTCTTCCTTCATAGTGTTGCTTATAGAATAATTCTATACAATTACATCTTGTTAGTTGCTAATCTAATATGTAATATTCTGCTGTCCCTGAATTTATAAGTAGCTAACTGTATGGTCTTATGTGTTTAAGTGAAATTTGCATTTCTATGTGATGAACACTGTCCGTAGTCACCCCTCCTTCCGAAGGCAGGTGTGAAGCATGTCCAGCAACCGGGGCTGTGGCGTGAATCAGCGGGGCTGGAGAGCCGCTCAGGGAAAATGAAGGCCATGGTGTGGGCAGACCTGCTTCCTGCCCGAAAAGGGAGCCGCAGCCTCTGAGCCTCTCTCTGGTTCCAGGGAGGAGGGACCCCAGTTGCCTGAGGGCTCGGGTCGTTGGTGTGAGGTATTACCTCCTCTCCGTGTAGAGCAGGAAGAGTTGTGTGCCGTCCTTGGAAATAGAAAACGGCACTTCAGATCACGTCTGCTCTCTGGGATGCAGATGAAAAACTCCAGTTGAGAAGAGCTGTTTGACTCCTTTTCTGTAGAAGTGCATGTCGGGTTTAGTAACTGAAATGACCGCAAGTGTAGAATCGTAGTTACAATCTCCCTCTCAATCCTGCTTTTCCAGAATTGTTTTAGTCCACACATCATAAGCTCACTTAACTTTGTAAACTTTCTGAAGTCTCAGAAATGTATAAAAGGTAAACGCTGATACATTGTACACATCATTTAGAACTGTATAAATATGTGTGTGTCTTCATTACCCTAGACCAGTGGGCCTGTTTTTTGTTTAGTTCCTTAATTAGAACCTAAATATGTTTGTGGAAGTCACCTGAGGTCATTTCACGTGATAGGGAAGAAGCTGGGGCTTTTGCACTACGGGTCTCTCAAAAGCATGCCCAGGGGCGGGTCAGTGGCAGTGGCACCTGAGCAGCCTTGAAAAGGAAGGCCAGGTGCTACCACCTCCGCGCGGCACTGCTGACACCATCATGATCCTTGGCTTCACCGCGGCACTCCCCACCTGCCACGTGTACACAGCTTTTCCGAAGCCCGGAAGAGGCATGGTGGTGGGTCGTTTTCCGTTCTCTCTGCACAACCCGCCCCGGCGGTGCCCTGCTACGTCCAGTTTAAAGCATGAAAAGAAAGGAAGCAGTTTTCACCTTGAGACTCTGGAAAGTCACTCTGGAGGTATTCTGTGGTCGCACGTCTGGGGAATTGCTTAGAAAATCTGACTTTAAAAGTGGTTCCTGGTCTGCCCATGAGCACGTGTCTGGAGGGCTTCTGTGAGAAGGGATGAGGACGGAGCGCTGGCGTCCTCCTGGGGCCTTACTGTACTGACCGTCCACTGCATGCCCTCACACCCCATTTCCCGAATCCTCGCTGCAGCTCTGAGCGCGGCCTCGGGCACGGCTGTTCTGTAGATGACGACCCTGGGGTCGCAGGGCCGCGGCCATTTGCCCAGGGTCTGATCCCAACCTGAGCAGCTAGCCGCAGAGCCAGAGCTCGCCAAGCGTGGGAACCTATCCTCACAGGAATGTTCGGGGCCCACGATGGACTTAACCGTATCCTAAACACTAGGCAGTATTTAAAAGGTTCCTGAAGCGACTTCCATTCTCAGAACCCAAGAGTTTAAAATGGTTTGGCTGAGAGTGAGGTGGTGGCTAAAACTGAAGGTGAGGACCCGCTCTTCGGGAGAGGGGGCCGAGAAGGAGGTGGGACTTCAGAGGAGGCCTTGCCCAGGCCGTGAGGGACTTGAGCACTGTGGGTGGCGGCTGGCCTGCAGAGCAGACGGGGCCCCTGACTGAAGCGGCCATGTGACTGGGCCATCCTGCGGGTGAGGCGTCTCATCCCTGCAGCGCGGTAGGATGTTAGGAGAGCGTGTTCTCAGGGTTGGTGCACCTTTAGCTGCATAGTAGGATTGGTGTGTCATGTTTATCTAATTAATGTCTGATGGGAGGTTGCTTTTAAAGGCAGACTTTCATCAGAAAACACTTGCTGTCATAGTACTGTTTACAAATTATTAATGTTAAAAATTGCTCTTCTACTTGCGATTGTTTGCTTTTAATAAATCAATAAATAATTATCAATAAGAACACATTCTATTTTTGAATACCTGCCATATGCCAGGGAATCACTCATATTATTTTGGCCTCAAAACCATTTGGAAGTACTTTTTCCACTTGACAGGAGAGGAGCGTGCTCCAGCAGAAGGAAGACCTGGCCATAGCTTTCACGCTTGGACTTAGCCCAGGTCTGCTTTCCCTTGCCTATTTTGTCTCCTTTAAATTTGCAAATATTACACATAGGTACATTAATTAATTACCCAGTTTATCTCTTATTTTAGAAAAAAAATAGTATAAACAAGAGATTCAGAAATCAAACACTGCATGTTCTCACTCGTAGGCAGGTGTTGAACAATGAGAACACATGGACACAGGGAGGGGAGCATCACACACTGGGGTCTGTCGGGGGGAAATACGGGAGGGACAGCGGGGGGTGGGGAGTTGGGGAGAGATAGCATGGGGAGAAATGCCAGATATAGGTGATGGGGAGGAAGGCAGCAAATCACACTGCCACGTGTGTACCTATGCAACAATCTTGCATGTTCTTCACCTGTACCCCAAAACCTAAAATGCAATAAAAAATAAAATTAAAAATAATAAATAAATATATAAATAAATAAACAAGGGATTCAGACTGTTTGCCCTTTCATGGCGTCCATGGAACCAGGGAGGGAGGAACCTTGAAACGTCGTATAACTTGCTCCCCGACCCACTGGAGATGATGGGGCGAGCTGCATTCTCGATTTTAAAACCATCTGGCTCTAGGCAACAATTAACACAAATTGTAAAGAAAGTCTTTATGATCCATAATGGTCTTCATTTTAAAGAATAATAGCAAGGGATTTTTGTCGTATTGCTCAGTATTCCTCTAGAAAATGTCATTCAAAAGTGTATACTTAGCTGCAAAAACAAAAAGTTCTGAACAGCAAAGTATTTCCACAGTTCTCTCATGTTGGCCAGCTTTCTAACCACCCATGTGCCGTGGCCTCCATGCGGCTTTCCTGAGGCAGTGGGATGTCACGTGTTGCTGCTCTCTTGTAGGTCGCTCTGGTGCAGTGGACGGAGAGTGTGGGCCTCACACTGGTCAGCAGGGACCTCACCTCCATGCAGCTGAAGACCCCCGGCGGCCAGGTCCTCAGCTTCTGCATCCTGCAGCTGTTCCCCTTCACGTCCGAGAGCAAGCGGATGGGCATCATCGTCAGGGTGAGGCTGCAGCTTGCCTGCCCCCAGGCCTGTGACGAGGGTGCTACACCAGGGCTTCCACACCAGGGCTTCAGACATCTTGTTTTCAGGCCGTTTAGACACAGATTTTCCCGAAAGAAAGTTAAATATTTACTCAAGTGCTTTATGCTGTTACAGGTTTTTTTTTAACGAAATGTAAGCTAACAAACTGTCTGCAAAGCTAGTGTGTCTCTAGTGTGAAAGTCACTCTCCTGAGACAACGAAGGCAGGATCAGTCATGTGGGTGGGCTTGGTTAATTTTTGAAATCAACTAAAGCTGTTTTGATTTCAACAAAAATAACATGCCAGAGAGTTTTACATTTAAACATTGATTTATGACCATAAAGTTGCTAAAATAGACTTTAATTTTTTTTAGCAAACACCAAAATCTTATCTTGAAAGTTGATTAAACAATGAAGCTTCCATCAAACTATAAAAGTTTAAGAGAACGCAACCCAAATCATATATTCGTTAACACATTCAAACACTTCAGCGTCTCAAGACACACGGTTGGTTCTCAGTCCTGGTCACACCAGCACCAGAGAGAGGGCCCAGTGCTCCGCGTGGAAGATGAGTGAGGAGCTCGCCACGCGGAGCACGCGCACTAGGAGCGGCTTTTCCCCGCGTGGCAGTTATCTCAGTGTGCCTGTGTTTATCTCTGTTCCGCGATAGGACGAAGCCACGGCAGAAATCACGTTTTACCTGAAGGGCGCTGATGTGGTCATGTCCGCTGTCGTGCAGTACAATGACTGGCTGGAAGAGGAGGTAAGGGAGTGATTCTCAGCGTCGCTCACGGCGCTTTTATGAAATTTACTGAACAGATGACAGAAAAATGATAGCCTTCCCCCAGCTGGTAGACACTGGTATCATTGAAATAAATTGAGCTGTCAAAACGTCAGACCAGACACTGATGGAAACCACGTAGGTTGTCAAACACAGTATCATTTTCTACTAAATTATTTTAAATGCTTACAGTTCTCAGTTTCATATAGCACAAAAAGTAGGAGTCCTATTTAATTGTAAGTAGTTTACTTTCTGTATAAATAATTATCATTTTTGTTTTGTGTGTGAGTGCATGTCACTTTATACAAGTAGGTCCTTACAGAGAATATTTTGTGTATAATAGAAATAGAAAGCATTATCAGTCATTCAGTATTCTGAAATAATACTTATGTGTAATCAAAGTTATATTTTAATGTATTTCTTTTGTAACATAAATATTTGCAAGGAGATTTTCGTTAGAATTTTAACCTAATGCTAATGTGTGCATAAGATTCACTTAAAAACAGAACCTCAGATGCAAATGTAAGCAATCCCATATTTCATTAAATTCTCCTTAAATAAACATTTGTAGCTAGCCTCATGAGATTAGTTTATCGCTGAGTTGATGTATTAATGAGTAGTTGGATTTCCAAGTACGTCAGAGACCTTTGTCACTGTGAACGTGGCCCTTTCTCCTGTGTGCATGTGGCTGTTGGAATCCAGTCTCTCCTCCTTCCCTGGACAGCAAGAATGGTCTGTCTGTGCCCCACGCCCTGGTGTTCGCAGCGGTATTGGCAATATGAATCAATATCTCCTTCAGGGCACTTTTATTTCATCAGGGACATGAATAAATTAAACTCCCTGAAGACCTAGTAAAATGCCATAAAAATTACTTTTGGTCATAATGACGTGCAATTAATTATAAAATACTTGTTTAATTTATTTAGCTTTATGAGGTCAGATCAATAAATGTCTTACAACAGACAGATAATATCAGAATGTTTTTCACAAAGATAACTTTATTAAAAATTCTTTGTACCTTTATTTTCTCACATTATATTTTCTTTTCTTGGTTAAATGCTTTGCCCCTTCACCAATGTCTTTGTTGTGATACTACTACAGTGTTGAAAGGCTTTCATTGTCTTTAAAAAGAAATGAAACAGCGGGTTCTTTGAGCCTGAGTTCAAAGTGTGTCATTCTGCTTCCATCAGGCTCCTCCAGAACTGAATTCTTGGCTGTCAACTTGTGTTCTCCAAGTGTTTAAAACAAAAACAAAAACAAAAACTTTTCAATGATCACATAACAGAAAGGACCAGTTTCTGAAAGCCTGAGATGTAAGACCATGTAAGTCTGTGAACAGACCTGAAATAGCAATGCTCTCGATGGCTGGAGGTGTGAGGTGATTGGCTTCCTTCCCTCTAAACACAAACTTGAGTTAGGCGCTGGACGTTGTATTGTAAAGGAAACAAGTACAGGTGAACCGTGAACAACTCGAGGGTCAGGGCTCAGGCCCCCAGCGCCGTTGAAAATCAGCCTGTCACTCTTGACTCCCCAGCACTTAACTACATAGCCTCCCGTTGACCGAAGCTGTACCAATAACATGGATAGGTGGATGAACGCATTATGTGTGTTATGTGGATTATATACTGCATCCTTACAATAAAGTAAGCTAGAGAAAAGACAGTGTTGTTAAGAAAATCATGAGGATGAGAAAATGTGTCTGCTCTTGAGTAAGTGGGAGTGGGTCATCGTGAAGACCTTCTTCACGTGGAGGAGGCTGAGGAGGAGGAGGGTGGGTCTGGCTCTCTCAGGAGGGCAGAGGCAGAGCAGGTGGAGGAGGTGGAAGGGGAGGCAGGAATGGCAGTTTCACTCTGCTTGAGCTTTCCTGAAAAACATCTGTGTAAAAGTGGACCCACGCAGCTCAAATCCATGTTGTTGAAGAGTCATCTGTAGCTAAAACTGGGAATGACAGGAGGTATAATGGGATGACAGCCTTGACTGTGTAATTCACAGTGACTGTCACCTCCTTTGTCTCCTGTAACACATGACCCTATAGAGGTCACTGTTCTGACTCCTAAACAGGAGAGGAAGAGACACAGCTGGTGGGTGCATGAAGAGGGGCGCCAGACCCATGGTCGCCTCTCCTGCCGTCCCTGCAGCTTCCAAATCTGTATCAAATCCAATAAACTGGAGGAATTAAAAGGAAATTGCAAAAAATATTCAAGAATTCAATCATGTTTATTCATCTCCAGATTGCCCTTGATGAGCAGATACAGTACCGTGGCTTCATTAGCATGGGGCCTCCTGTGTGGAGGGCTCCTGTTCCCCTGGAGAGATGATGGGCGGTGACAGGGTCTCTGCGTGTGACTGGGGGGCCATGACATGTATGTGTGCACACTTGACACGTTTCCGAGGGTGCAGATGTGCCTGGATCGTTTCTCAGCACTTTTCCTGGGCAGCACGAGGCACTCCCCTTGCCCCGTCACCAGCACCACCGCTATACCCCCCATGCCCTCCCTGGCACCAGACACTCCCCATACCCCATCCCCAGCACTGCTGTGTCAACCCCCTCCATGCCCTCCCTGGCACCAGAGCCTCCCCTCGCCCCGTCCTAGCACTGCCTCGTGCATTCCTGTGCCCTCCCTGGCACCAGGTGTTCCCTTACCCCATCTCCAGCACCGTGGCATACACCCCCCATGCCCTTCTTGGCACCAGGCGCTCCCCTCCCCCCATCCCCAGCACTGCTACATGCAACCCCAGTGCCCTCCCTGGCACCAGGAACTCCCCACACCCCATCCCCAGCACTGCCACATGCACCCCCTATGTGTGCTTGCTACATGCAGTCTGGTGTCCACACTCTGGAGTGGTGGTGTTCTAAGGATTCAGGATATGTTTTTTTGAAAAGCCTGTGTTGTGGTAGAAAGAAGCTCTGCTGGGCACCAGGAGAGCACCCCAGCAGGGTGTGCCCCACCTCCATCCAGCATCTTCACCTCTCCAGTGAAGGGGTGGGTGGGATTAGAGATAACAGACAGGTGGTAAGGTTAAAAGGATACATTGTCTGTAAAGGCGGTTCTCTGAGATTAAAAGGATATGTTGTAAAGGCGTCCCTCTGCTGAGTCATCATCTCTGGCCTTGGTGATGAAGGTAGGGTGCAGGGCATGAAAGCAGGTCACCAGCAGTCAGAGTGGTGCTGCCCCGGCCCCACACATGGCTGCAGAGACTCTGTGGGACCCGCCCGTGACTCGGCCTCTCCTTCTCCAGTGCGGAAACATGGCACGCGAAGGACTGCGGACCCTCGTGGTTGCAAAGAAGTCGCTGACGGAAGAGCAGTACCAGGACTTTGAGGTGAGCTGACCCCCAGCCAGCCGCTCCATCCTCCCACTGAAATTAGTTCTTCCTGTCTTTGTATGAAATTCGAGCTGGAATTGCTGTAGTCTAGGAGTGAAGGCAGCTTCGCTCAGCAGGAGCACGGGGTGGCCCTGTGCATCTCTGCTTCCACCGCTTCAGTCTGCTGGGCAAGGAGGGTCCCAGAAGCAAACAAGCCCCAGTTTCCTTGGAATTGGGCTTGATAACTCCTAAATATCAACAGTGCAGCCGAGCTGAGTACACACACAGCATGTGCACACAAGTGTCTCCGCCTCTGTCCCCAGAGCCCATGCAGCTGTGTGTACCCCCATGGAGCGTGTACACACGTGTGCACACAGGCGTCTCTCCCTCTGTTCCCAGAGCCGATACACTCAAGCCAAGCTGAGCATGCACGACAGAACCCTCAAGGTGGCCGCGGTCATCGAGAGCCTGGAGAGGGAGATGGAGCTGCTGTGCCTCACGGGCGTGGAGGACCAGCTGCAGGCGGACGTGCGGCCCACGCTGGAGATGCTGCGCAATGCCGGGATCAAGGTACCGTGGGCTCACCTCTGGCGGTCCGCGCTGCTTTTGCTGAAGCAAATGGTGCTTTTCCTTGGGCACGCTGATCTGTGAAACTCTGAGCTGTGTAAGTAAAGCTGTCCACGCGTTCCCCTCCCTCCTCAGGGACATCTGCAGCTGGAGCAAACGCAAATCCCCAGGCCGCCCCACTTCAGACCTTCCTCTCTACACCTCTTTCCTCTCCAGACACCCCAGCCTTTCTAAAGAGGAGCCTTGGCCCTGGCCCTCACAATGTCAAAGCTGCCACATGCCATTTCCCAGGGACAGTTACGTACCCCTCACAGGATGCATGGGGCCAGTGCCCGTAGCACCTGGCAGAACCCTGCATCTGGCAAGCCTGGGCCTCTGCGTTCCCTGTGGAGCCTGGCCCCCTCCTGCCAGAGCCTGTGTGCCTCCCCTGTGAGCTCTTCCTGCTCTGGTACGTCCAGTGTGGCAGCACATGTTCCATGAGGTGAGACTGTGTGAGAATTCAGGCCTCATGTGGGCTTTGCCTTCATTCTCAGATAAATTGTGCCACATTTGGAATCAACTCTTGCTTCAGGGCATATTAGAGTTGAGAATACAGAATATTCAGACATGCACTACATCCATTCATTTTCTTGATGCTTTTGAAGGAGTAATGCATCCACATTGACACAAACTCAGCACAAAGGGACGAAGGGACGCCCAGTGGAAGCTGCTTCTTACTGCTGCTCAGCCTGTGGGCTCAGCAGCAAGAGCCCGTCCCAGAGACTCCTGGATGTGCAGGGCAGGTGTGAAGCTGCTTGTCCTCCCTCTGGCTCTGTGTTCTCAGCACCTTCTCTGTAGCTGGAGGGTGCCCTCTCCACCTCGGCTGTGTGGCTCATGCCTCCACCCCCACCATGCTCCCAGCAGGCAGTGCCCGCCTTCCCCGTGCTCCCAGAAGGCAGTGCCCGCCTTCCCCGTGCTCCCAGCAGGCAGTGCCCGCCTTGCCCGTGCTCCCAGCAGGCAGTGCCCACCTTCCCCGTGCTCCCAGAAGGCAGTGCCCCCCTTCCCCGTGCTCCCAGCAGGCAGTGCCCGCCCTCCCCGTGCTCCCAGCAGGCAGTGCCCGCCCTCCCCGTGCTCCCAGCAGGCAGTGCCCGCCCTCCCCGTGCTCCCAGAAGGCAGTGCCCGCCTTCCCCGTGCTCCCAGCAGGCAGTGCCCGCCCTCCCCGTGCTCCCAGCAGGCAGTGCCCGCCCTCCCCGTGCTCGCAGCAGGCAGTGCCCGCCCTCCCCGTGCTCCCAGCAGGCAGTGCCCGCCTTCCCCGTGCTCCCAGCAGGCAGTGCCCGCCCTCCCCGTGCTCCCAGCAGGCAGTGCCCGCCTTCCCCGTGCTCCCAGAAGGCAGTGCCCCCCTTCCCCGTGCTCCCAGCAGGCAGTGCCCCATCTCATCCAGCTGTGTGGTCCTTGGCAGTTTAAATATGGTGTCTGCGAAATGTGAGTGGTTTTCTTGGATGGGAGAGGTGAGGCTTCCTGACCTTGCTTCTTGGTGGTTCCCCCGGGCGCTGTGTGGCGAGGCGTACACTCCCTGCCCACTGACCCACTCTCTGGTTCTTTCATTTACTGATGTGTCCTTTTCCTGTATAGGGGAAATTAGCACTTGTGGTGTAAGTTTCATTTTTCAGGAGCTTTTCTCACATGTTCTCACTGAAGCTATCCAGTCAATTGCGGATTGGTTAGGATAATTTTAGCACTACTTCAAGGGCCTGGGGCTCAGAATGGAAAACATATAACTGGTGCTTAAGAGAAAAGCTGTGTAGTCAGGCTAGAGGGACAGAACTGAAGGACAGTGTCAGAAGTGAGATCAAAAAGCCATCCCCCAAGTCTCGGTGAAGATGCTGTGCTGTAGACAGAAGATCGGCATCCGTCTTCCTTGCTCTCTGGAAGTCTGCAGGGCTGAGACTCGAAAGATTCGATACACATTTGAGATCGCAGTAGGAAGTATGTCATGAGGCGATACCTGGTTTCAGAGTAATTGTTCATATAGGAATTCAAAATTACAAGAGGAAATTCTGACTCAGCAAGTTTAGATTACTAGACTTCATTGTTTTGTACAGCCAAAACGTTGAATGAAGAAGTATGATTAACAAGAGCAGATGAGCCGGTGTTGTGCCGTGTACCTGGGATCCCAGGAACTCAGGAGGCTGAGGCGGGGGCTCACTGGAGCCCCGGAGTTCATGGCAAGACCCGTCTGTACTGGACATGTGAATGAGCGAGCAGATGAGCCATGCACGTCACTGTAACGTAGTAGTCAACTTCCCTCAGTCTGCTTCTCACTTTACATGTGCTAGATTACTAGTAGTCCATATCCCGTGTAGTAAAATTTGGATATTTACATCAATTATTTGCTAAGTTACATGACTTTCTCAAGTTCTGCTCCTTCTTCTTTACCTGAAGCCAAGAACCCTGAGGTGGTTTTCAGCTGGACCTCACTGTGTCTCCTGAGTCGCACTGAGGCTGCTGCAGGGCCGGTTCTTCCGCCCTGTCGCCATAGTGTCGTGATCTTCGGTCCAGTAAACGAATATAAGTCTGTAAAATAAGTCAAAAGCACAAATCTTAGACCTTGAGAAGAGCCCCAGGTAGAATGTGCTTAAGCAGATAATTGGTACAAGGTAGAAGTTTTTCTGTTTTGTTTCCAAAGATGCGTATTTCAATATGACACATAAGAAATGAGAAATTCAGCTAATGAGAATATGACTAGAAGTTCTTTGCTGTTATGTGTATCAAACGTCCTGTTATGTATTAAATATCCTGAGATTTTACACTCTCTATTATCTAGGGATATATAAGATGGGCGTGGGTATGCAGTTTTTAAATATAAAGTGACTACTATTTGACACATTTTATTTGACATAAACAACTTTTGGCTTGACTATGGGCCATTTACCCATTGAACCTCTGCTTCCCACTGAAAAACTAGCAAACTACAGTAAAGGTCTTCATGAGCCTCCTAGCCTGGCAGACCCTGGTGGTGTGCTGCCTGGGCAGACCTGTGTGCTTGGTGCGGAGTGCTGTGTGGACAGCGCCTTTGAGGCTCACGGCATGCCGGGCCGGGTGTTACTTACGTGCCAACGCGTCTCAGCTGCTGTGTCTGCACATCACTGTGATCTCACTCGTTTCAGCTAAGCAAGCCCAGAGACCGTTTGGTTGTGGTTGAAAGTACGGAACGTGACCTTGTTTCAGTCTGCATTGCCTCCTCTTCTGCAGCCATCACCACCATCCACCTCCAGAGCTGATCCATCTTCCTACACAAAACGCTGTCCATCTCCCCACCCCCTTCCCCCAGACCCTGGCACCCACATCTACTGGCTTCTCCATGGATTGGATGGCTCTAGGGACCGCATGTAAATGGAATCACACAGTTGGTGTCCTTCCGTGACTGGCTTCTTTCACTCAGCAGTGTCCTCAAGGTTGATCCACACTGCAGCCTGTGTCAGAATTTCCACCCTCTTTAAGGCTGAGTAATACTCCATCGTATGTCTGGAGCACATTTTTCTTCTTCGTTTGTCTGTTGATGGACACCGGGGTTGCTTCCGCCTCTTGGCTGCGGGGATAAGGCTGCTGTGAGATGCCGGGGACAAGCGTGTCCTTGTCTTGTTGAGGCTCACCAGCTGCAGTTGCTTCCTAGGTATGGATGCTAACAGGCGACAAGCTGGAGACAGCCACCTGCGTCGCCCAAAGCTCACGCCTGGTGCCTCGGACACAGGATACTCACATCTTCAGACGGGTATGTATCTTAATCACTTTGAATTTGTGAACGTTTGTCTCACAAATAAGGCCTGTTGTTTTTGTCAAGATAGCTATGTAGTTATTAATCACTAAATATCTTTTTAAAAGAAATATTGTAATTGTTTTCTTAATTTATGAAAGCATTTTAAAAATAGACGTTTTTAGACACATACATCAATTGTGATCAAAAGCTGCTTTTTGACAGTGTGAACAAGCCCTAAGTTCAAAGGTGTCTCTCGGTTACACTGTTATATTATTTTTTGCTGTTTTAAAAGAGACATACTGCAATCATTTTCAATTTGTAAAAATGTACATTGATGAAAAATTACATTATTCTACCTTTTATACATATTACATGTTGTCCAGAGCTGCTGTTGTGAAACAAGCCATAAATACAAAATAGGAATATGTTCTTAATCGCTGCCATTTTCAGAGCAAGTGCTGCCTTAATTTGTTCAAAGAAAATTAATAGAAATGATCTAGGTTTATGTGTTTACTGTATGTATTAGTTATGACTAAATTTAATTCAAACAAAAAATAAAAATTTCTTGGGTCTTGATTGATAGTGGGTGAACAGACATTCTGTGTCTGTGTCTGCTCTAAATGAAGCACTTGTACCTACAGAAGGAGTTATTTGAATACAATTTACATGTAAATGCAGTGTGTTTTGAAGCATCTGAATCGCAAATTAGGCCCTGAAGACTACTATTTGCAATTAAATTATTAATGCTTCTGATAAAACTTCAGATCAATTTTTGTTGACTTTTCAGTGTTATAGCACCACAAATTAAATTTTTCACAATAAAACCTACCTATTTAAAGATGAGTCTGAGATTGTTAATTTGAACCACATGAAGCTTTTATTTCAGTCTTATTATTAGGACTATTAATATATCATTTCTTTCATGCTCCATAAAATCTCTGCAGAAAGAATGTGAAAAAACAGTTACGTTGGCTTTTCGAAATGTTTTTTGTTCTAAAATGAATATTTCGAGATTATGACTTAATTTTACTCCTTTAGGTTTTTAAAAAAAATCCCTCAGACACTGAATAAAAACCAATGGAATGAGTTGAAACCCACGGCAGAGACAGGGCAATTAAGCATTTTGCATTATTTGACCTGTTATGGAAAGCAGTGTGTCTACATAACACCTTGGTTTCAGACCATCCTGGCTCTTGCCTGGCGTGTGGCGATGAGCAGCTCATTCCCTGGGCTCTGGTGCTCTGACGGGTGGGTGCCTCCTTCTACAGAGCTGTGTTCGTGGAGCTGCGACTCAGTGACTCAGCAGCACTGCCCCCACACCGGCGCACCCCTGCCTGTCACTCTGCTAAGTAATCACCTCATGGAAATTACAAGAAAATTCTTCATCGTTATCATTGTCTGTTAAGGGAGTGTGTTTATAAAAGCCAATTAATTACCCTCCCAAACTATCCGGAAGGTAATTATTAACTCATAGGCACCCTTGACGTAATGTCTCCTCAGAGCGGTGATTCTTCTGCATTCTTCACTGTGAGTGTCCTGCTGCAGTTGCTGAGAGGGTAGACACCCCCAGCACCGCCAGAGGGACTGGAGAGGACCTTCTTCTAGGTCCAAATACCGAAGCTCCTTTGCTTTTAGATAGTAAGCCCAAAACATTCTACTGTGACTCTGCAAATCATGCCCTGTTCTCTGTGCCTCTAATTTAGATAACATTTTAATTGGGGATTCTTTTTTCTCCCTTAATGGAGGTAACCAGTCGGGGAGAGGCACATTTGGAGCTGAATGCATTTAGAAGGAAGCATGATTGTGCCTTGGTTATATCTGGGGACTCTCTAGAGGTAAGGCTGGACTCTGAGTACATGTCTTTCTGTCTGTGTCTCCGAGGCAAGGCTGGTCCCTGGCCGAGTGTCTGTCTGTCTGTCTGTGTCTCTGAAGCAAGGCTGGTCCCTGTCTGTCTGTCTTATCTGTGTCTCTGAGGTAAGGCTGGTCCCTGACGGAGTGTCTTGTCTGTCTGTCTGTGTCTCTAAGGCAAGGCTGGTATCCTGAGTGGTTACATGTCTGTCTGTCTGTCTGTCTGTGTCTCTAAGGCAAGGCTGGTATCCTGAGTGGGTACATGTCTGTCTGTCTGTCTGTCTGTGTCTCTGAAGCAAGGCTGGTCCCTGACCAAATGTCTGTCTTGTCTGTCTGAGGCAGGGCTGATTCCTTTGCGAGTATGTCTGTCTTTCCATTCCCATGCGCCCAGGGTTTCTTGAGGAAGTGCTTTTGCCCGTTTGTGCAATTTTGAGGCACTTTTTCCGTTTCGCAACAGTGGTGCCTGCCACTCTGGAAAGCAGCTGCAGCCTGGGGAGGTGTCAGGGCTGGGTCCCGGTGATGGTTACTCCTCCTTTAGATAGGGAGAGCCTGGAACGTTCTGCAGGAGGCCCGGGAGAGCCTGGAAGGTTCTGCAGGAGGCCTGGGAGAGCCTGGAAGGTTCTGCAGGAGGCCCGGGAGAGCCTGGAACGTTCTGCAGGAGGCCTGGGAGAGCCTGGAACGTTCTGCAGGAGGCCCGGGAGAGCCTGGAAGGTTCTGCAGGAGGCCTGGGAGAGCCTGGAAGGTTCTGCAGGAGGCCCGGCAGAGCCAGGAACGTTCTGCAGGAGGCCCGGGAGAGCCTGGAACGTTCTGCAGGAGGCCCGGGAGAGCCTGGAAGGTTCTGCAGGAGGCCCGGGAGAGCCAGGAACGTTCTGCAGGAGGCCCGGGAGAGCCTGGAAGGTTCTGCAGGAGGCCCGGGAGAGCCAGGAACGTTCTGCAGAAGGCCCAGGAGAGCCACTGGAGCCTGGCTGGCACCTGGCTTCTGGCTCTTTGTGCGCTCCACGTCATGTCCGCCGGAGCAGGAAAGTCCAAAGCAGCTTCATGCCGCGTTTCACGTGTGGCCCCAGCTGAGGAAACTGTGGCGCCAGGGCTGATGGGAGCCTCTGCCCGCACAGCTTTTGCACAGGCTTCTGGACTTAATCACCCCAGACCTCTGTTGCATCCACAGAGCAAGCACTCCAAGAAATGTGGCAGAAGCTGTCTCAGAACGTCACTGGTGGGTCACATGACGTTGTTCAAGAAAGTCACTAAGGCAGCCTGGATTCCAGGGGAGGGGATCAGACGCCTCCCGCAGTAAAGACGTAGCCAGGGCTGTATTGCTCTGTCTCATCTACTGCAGGCTTAAGACCAGAAGGCCGTGTCGGGGCTCAAGGCACGGAGCATTGTCTCTGGTACTTCAAGAGGAAGCGTTTCCCTGGGCAGGAGAAGGCTGGTTCCATGTTATATAGAATTTCCTCCCATGATTTTCAGATGTTCCCCTGCCCTGTGAGTCTCATGAAATGATTCACAGAATACTGAAAGATTGGGAGCTGTGACATCTGTTGGTTTTGCACTTTCTGCATGACACAAATTTGGGACAGTGCTGTTGACAGTAAGGCGGAGTCACCCGTGCTCTGTTTTCCAGGTTTGTCTAAAGTACTACGAGCACGAGTTTATGGAGCTGGCCTGCCAGTGCCCCGCCGTGGTGTGCTGCCGCTGCTCGCCCACCCAGAAGGCCTGCATCGTGACGCTGCTGACAGCAGCACACGGGGAGACGCACCTGCGCCATCGGTGAGCGCCGCCCGCTCACGGGAGGCCTCCAGAGAAGCCCGTGGCCTGACACTGATGGGCACACTTCCTTCCACCCCTGAAACTAGATTGAGTCCATCTCCATTAATGGAAGTTTCTGAAATAGCCTCTGATGGTAAAAATGAAAAACGTGATGATGGATGGGGTTTTATTTTATCTCGCAACTTTTCTTGTTTCGCAGGTGATGGAGGAAATGATGTCAGCATGATTCAGGCAGCGGACTGTGGGATTGGGATTGAGGGAAAGGTAGGTTTGCCCTTTCGTCTGTCAACATATCAGTGCACATCAACACAACTCAGCACATGCTGGGTCATTGTACACTCAGCACCTACTCGGTCAGCACACGTCAGCGTGTGCTCAGCACACACTCGGTCAGCACCTACTCGGTCAGCACACGTCAGCACTTGCTCAGCGCACGCTCGGTCAGCACCTACTCGGTCAGCACACGTCAGCACTTGCTCAGCGCACACTCGGTCAGCACCTACTCGGTCAGCACACATCAGCATGTGCTCAGTGCACACTCTGTCAGCACACGTCAGCACGTGCTCAGCGCACACTCGGTCAGCACCTACTCAGTCAGCGCACGTCAGCACGTGCTCAGCGCGCACTCGGTCAGCACCTACTCGGTCAGCGCACGTCAGCACGTGCTCAGCGCACACTCGGTCAGCACACGTCAGCACGTGCTCAGCGCGCACTCGGTCAGCACCTACTCAGTCAGCGCACGTCAGCACGTGCTCAGCGCGCACTCGGTCAGCACCTACTCGGTCAGCACACATCAGCATGTGCTCAGTGCACACTCTGTCAGCACACGTCAGCACGTGCTCAGCGCACACTCGGTCAGCACCTACTCGGTCAGCACACATCAGCATGTGCTCAGTGCACACTCTGTCAGCACACGTCAGCACGTGCTCAGCGCACACTCGGTCAGCACCTACTCGGTCAGCGCACGTCAGCACGTGCTCAGCGCGCACTCGGTCAGCACCTACTCGGTCAGCGCACGTCAGCACGTGCTCAGCGCACACTCGGTCAGCACCTACTCGGTCAGCGCACGTCAGCACGTGCTCAGCGCACACTCGGTCAGTACACGTCAGCACGTGCTCAGCACACACTCGGTCAGCACCTGCTCAGTCAGCACACATCAGCATATGCTCAGCGCACACTCGGTCAGCACACGTCAGCACGTGCTCAGCGCGCACTCGGTCAGCACCTGCTCAGTCAGCACACATCAGCACATGCTCAGCACACACTCGGTCAGCACCTGCTCAGTCAGCACACATCAGCACATGCTCAGCACACACTCGGTCAGCACCTGCTCAGTCAGCACACATCAGCACATGCTCAGCACACACTCGGTCAGCACACATCAGCACATGCTCAGCACACACTCGGTCAGCACCTGCTCAGTCAGCACACATCAGCACATGCTCAGCACACACTCGGTCAGCACCTGCTCAGTCAGCACACATCAGCACATGCTCAGCACACATTCGGTCAGCACCTACTCAGTCAGCACACGTCAGCACATGCTCAGTGCACAATCAGTCAGCACACACTCGACACATGCTCGGTGAAGGTGCACTTGGTCAACACATTTGGGTGAAGGAGGAATTGGTCAGAATCCCCGCTTTGACCCCACATCTCATAAAGAGGATCCTGCCACGTGCATTAGAGCCCAGCCCTCGGCATCCTTGCTGTTGGCAGAGTGGCTGCTAGGAAGGTGTCACGCGTAGTCACCTGCCCCAGGGCTCAGCTCAGTTGTTAGCAAACCCCCCAAAGAGCCTTTTCTTTCTTTTTTTTTTTTTTTGTGCCTTTATCCCAGCTACTCCAGAGGCTGAGGCAGGAGGATCACTTGAGCCCAGGAGTTTAAGGCTGCAGTGAGCTGTGATTGTGCCACTGTACTCTAGCCTGGGTGACAGAGTGAGACCCTGTCAAACGCTCATGGCCATCCTACCATGATTTATTATTTTATTTTACATAATTTTTAACAATTTCTTATACATTGAACTATGTTTTTTTTGTTTGCTTGTTTTGTTTAAATTTTTAAAATTTCAGTAGGGTTTGGGGGAGCAGGTGATGTTTCATTACATGAATAAGTAATTTAGTGGTGATTTCTGAGGATTTGGTGCACCCAGCGAGCCTTTTCATGGCTGCCCTCCCGTTTCACACACGCTGTTCTCTGGGTAGTTGCCTGTGTCTGACTGAGGTATAGTTTAAGGTTTGCCTTCTGTGCTAGCCTTATTTATGTTACTCCTTTCTCCACAGTCACTTAAATATTAATACAAACATACCCAGAAAGACCTGGAAAATTAACCCAGCTCAAGCCAGCGTGGCTTTTCCTTGGCTACTTCATTTGTAATGCCTTATGGCGGTGTTGTGAAAGAGGAGATAGTTTTTTTTTAATATGAAAAAGCAGAGAATTGTCTTGAAGAAGCCCATGGTCACAGGGGCGTCTTCTGACAGGGCTGGCCCGTGCTGAGTTCACAGAGGCTCAGATCACAGGGACTTAGATCACAGGGGCGTCCTTCAACAGGGCTGGCCCGGGCTGAGATCACAGGGGCATCCTCCCACAGCGCTGGCCCTGGATGTCCTCTGATAGTGCTGGCCCGGGCCCTGCTGACTCCTGTGACACCCTCGGGCTGTTGGAGCCGAGCTCTCCTGAAGTGTCTGAGAGAGCCTGGGCTGCTGCTGGGGGCCTCCCTGCCCCTGTACCTGAGACCGGCGGACCTGTCCCGTCGACGTAGCCGAAGCTTTTAAAGTCCTGCAGACAGAACTTCAGTCTTGGTAAAATTCAGGCTGAGTTCTAGAACTCAGCTTCTGGAGTCTGATCTCCAGCGTCCACAGTGTCGGACAGGCCCTGCGTGCTTCTTCCAGGAGGGGAGGCAGGCCTCGCTGGCGGCCGACTTCTCCGTCACGCAGTTCCGGCACGTCGGCAGGCTGCTCGTGGTGCACGGGCGCAACAGCTACAAGAGGTCGGCGGCCCTCGGCCAGTTCGTCATGCACAGGGGCCTCGTCATCTCCACCATGCAGGTACCAAGCTTCTGCACATGCCACGGGGGCAGGGGCCGGGACGCTGCGAGGGGGCATCGCCAGGTGCTGCGGGAGTACCTGGGCTGCGCTTGGGAGTTAGAGGCCTGGTGCCGGCTGCTGCTGGGCCTGACGGCTGTCTGTGTCTGTGGCTCTCTCTCCAGGCTGTGTTTTCCTCGGTCTTCTACTTCGCATCTGTCCCTTTGTACCAGGGCTTCCTCATGGTGGGGTAAGTGGCACTCAGCACCTGCCAGCTCATCCGGGGGAGGACTTTTATTTTGAAAAGAAGACCACATGTAGAAGATTGCATTTGAGTGATTCCTGATGCAGTCATCATTTAGAATGAAAACTGCTAACGTAAAAAGTGTTTTACTTGGGTAAACTTCGAGATAGCATCTGTATACTTGTTCCTCCTGGGATTTTCTCATTAGAATTTGTTTTCAAGTGGAAGCCATAGTACGTGTCAGGAATTGTGCTGGGTCTGAGATTTTTAAAGGATCCCATGGCGTAAGGAGGAGGGGCAGAGTGGCCACAGCCAGGCCCTCCCAGCTCTCTGCAGGCGGCCCCTCTCCCGGCTGGGGCTCGGCTTCGTCCCGCTATGGGATGTGGCCAGGCAGCAGCAAATGGCACACAGGAAGTGTGGGGACATTTCCTTAGACTTGAATGTGACATAGTGTGGCGTGCTTTGAACCAGATGCTGTCAGTCTCTCCCTGGCAGGAATGGAATCTTATTTTCAAAGATAACAACACCAGGGCCGGACACTTTGGGAGGCTGAGGTGGGCATGGGAGGATCACCTGAGGTCAGGAGTTCAAGACCAGCCTGGCCAACATGGTGAAATCCTGTCTCTACTAAAAATACAAAAAATTAGCCAGGCATGGTGGTGGGCACCTGTAATCCTAGGTACTCGGGAGTCTGAGGCACGAGAATCTCTTGAACCTGAGAGATGGAGGTTGCAGTGAGCTGAGATCGTGCCATTGCATACCAGCCTGGGAAACAGAGCCAGACTCAGTCTCAAAACAAAAAAGTAAAGCTAACAGCACCATTATCTTAGAAAGGGACACCACAAGTGCAGCAGGCAGGCGATGTGCGTTGAAAGCTGAGCTGATTTTGCCAACCGTGTCTGCAGAACAGGAACTTCCTGTGAAGAGAGAATTGGTGGGAATTTGTCATTTCTTCCTCCTTTGTGGTGATGCCTAGAAATGAAAGCAGCGTGACTGCTTGTGTTGGCAGCAGACTAAAAGCGGCCTCCCCTCTGCCACTGATCTCCCTAACATCTGCAAAGCTCGTTCCCATCTTAACCAGGTTCCACCCGACAGTGAGTCCCAGAAAATACTGTGACAGTTACAGCCACTGGCATTGATGCTCTCAGCGTTGAACACACCTTCATCATCACCTTGTCCCCAGAGAGCTCAGGAACGTGCATGTGGGCGACCAGGCTCAGACCTGAGTGGCCGGGGCCGGCGCCGGGCACTGCTCCTCACCGTCACACAGCCGCCGAGCTTCCTCCCGGCCCGCAGAGAACAGACACGGAGTCCCTTCTCTCTGCAGAGCTCTTTTCAATCCGCATGCTAAACACCATGTCACCCGCAAGCTCCCTGAATCCATTCCTCACACGTGTAGCAAAATACCGGGAAACGTTGGCCTGCGCATGTGTTAGGTTTTTGTTAAACATGTGAGGTCTCTTAAGTCCCTGCTTCCCAAGTGAGAATCACTGAGAGGCACCCCGTCGTCCCGAGTCGTCTGAGGAGCGCTGCCATGCACAGAGCCGGCGCTTGGCTCTGTGCCTTCCCTCTCTCCAGTCTTCAGGAACTCTCTGCCCTCTGGCGTGCACATGTGATGTCCCCTTGGCTAGACCACTGCCAGATGTCCCCATTGTCCTTGCTTCCCCGGAGGCCCCAGCCCCCACGGCGCACCTTCACCCCCCGCAGGCCGCGCAGCTGTAGCGCCAGTTAGCGCCCTCGTCTCCTGCGTGCTCTACAAGGACAAGTCACAAGGTGTGTCAGGTCCTTGTACCTGCTGTGAGTTTGTCAGTGTGAACTTGAGCGCATGCGGATTGCAAAGGAGGACCAGGCTCTGGCAGATTCTAAAGCCTCGGGACAGCTGAGCTGTGGGGCTCACAGCTACCAAAACCCCTGGGGCACCTGCCTCGGACTCTGTGTCCTTCACCTGCATGTTAGCCCCGTTCGTCCCAAGGCATCAGGAGCATGTCCTGTGGTCCTAAAAATCACTTTAGGCAGGGTGCGGTGGCTCACACCTGTAATCCCAGCACTTTGGGAGGCCGAGGTGGATGAATCACCTGAGGTCAGTAGTTTGAGATCATCTTGGCTAACACAGTGAAACCCATCTCTATTGAAAACACAAAAAACTAGCTGGGTGTGGTGGTACGTGCCTGCAGTCCCAACTACTCTGGAGGCCGAGGCAGCAGAATCACTTGAACCCAGGATGTAGAAGCTGCAACAAGCCGAGATCGTGCCACTGCACTCCAGCATGGGCGACAGAGCAAGACTGTGTCTCAGGAGAAAAAAAAAAGCAACTTTGAATAAAGTGAGTAAGAGCTTGGGAAAACCCTTGCCTGTGGCTTCAGGCTTCTCTCACGCCTAGCCCTTCATTTTGGCACGAGTGCCTACACTTCAGGCCCCTTCTTGCTATAAACACACAGGGAATAACTCCTGTGATAGGAAACATTGCAGACTCTTTGTGGCCCATAAGGAAACCGCCATCATCAGCCCTGGGCTGGGCTGGCCACCCGAGGCTCCCTCAGCCCAAGCGTGAGGGAGCACAGGACAATGCTGGGCATCTGTGCTGTCAGCTTGAGCCCTATTTCATGTCTCTCCGTGACCAAAGAAGGTCCCAGCAACTTACCAACTCATAGCCTATATGACTGATGGAAATGGTGGTAGGATTTGCGCTAACATTCTCAGCATTCCATTAATTCCAATAGTGTTTCATATAGTACTTCAAACAAAGGTGAAAAATCCTAAAGGTATAGTAAGCTCTAACTCTTTTTAAATAAGTTTTCCCATGCCTGCCTCTTTGCAGTAATTATTAATTAGTTACCTTTTTGGAGGGGGTGTGGAGAGAACAGAGTCTTGCTGTGTCACCCAGGCTGGAGTGCAGTGGCATGGTCTCAGCTCACTGCAGTCTCTCCCTCCTAGGTTCAAGCGGTTCTCCTGCCTCAGCCTCCCGAGTAGCTGGGATTACAGGTGTGCACTACCATGCCTGGCTAATTTTTGCACATTTTCAATAGAGATGGGGTTTCGCCATGTTGGCCGGGCTTGTCTTGAACTCCTGACCTTAGGTGATCCACTTGTGTTGGCCTTCCAAAGTGCTGGGATTACAGGCATGAGCCCCTACGCCTGGCCTAGTTACTTTTAAATAGTATAGAATTGGCTAATTGCACCTTGAGTTTGAACAGTGTTTTTCTTCCTTGGAAGTCATATAAAAGCATAACCATTATTTCTTTCTTTCTTCGTATTTTAAAAATTGGAGATTTGAAACATTAAAAGCAAATGTGGGGCACCGTGGAGATTATTCTTGGAAGAACAGCGTTCCCAGCTCCTGTTCTGAGAGCTCTTCTTTATATTAGGCTTTATGTAAAGTAACTTGGAGTGTCCCTCATGAGAGAAACGCCTGTGACTTCCTTAAGCACTCGTACTCTGAATTTGGTTAGGTGGGAGATTTGAAGGGGCGATGCTTTTAAGTTAAGGTAGTTTGAAAATAAATAACGAGTTTGCCTTCACCTAGAAAATCAGTATCAAGAAGTGAGCAAAAACCAACATGACGTTTTTACAAAGTAACATAACTGGACCAAACTCATGTCTCTGAAGGAGAAACGGGCTCTAGAAACTAGAATCGTTGATAGATTTACCATGGTTTTCCTCTCCATTCATTTCATCAGCTCTGGAAGGAACTGATGGCCCAGGTGACTTTCCTGAAGCAGGAGGGATCAGAAGCAGGAAGGACCAGGCATACACTCCGTGCACAACAGGGAGACCCCGAGAGGGGCCGGGGACCCTGGGGGTGGGGGTGGGGAAGCCTAGGGTGGCGGGGGATGGGGCAGCAGGAGGGGCTGGGAGAGACGGGACAGCCTGAGGAGCTTCCTGTGACCCCCCTGAGCCCACCCTGCCCTCGCACCCCAAGCAGGCCTGGGGAATGCAATGCGCTCCCCCAGGAAAAGAGCTCCTAGACCAGGTCCTCTTGGGGAACCCCTGGTGGGTGCCACGCCGTGTACCTTAGAAGTCGGAGGCTCCGAGACAGACTCCCGATCGCATGTGCTCACAGCTCATGTTCTACAAAAGTGCTTTGGGGAACGCTAGTCTGAACTGGCTGGAAGTGTCTCCCCAGTGATGTCGGCAGTTCCCTGCAAGGACCTCACACTCAGCAGCACACCGTGGCAGCCATTCCTGGGTGTGGGTCTCCTTTATATCCTTGCTAGCGGCTCAGATGGAGAGCCTGTGAGCGCTCTCATGAAAGTTAGACTGAACCTTAATTGAGCACCAAGAGGGTGCCTGACATTTCCAGAGAGCGCTCTGGGCAGGAGGAGCACGGGGTCCCCAGGGAGCTGTGTGCAGGCCTGAGGGACAGAAAGCTGTGGGGTCCCCAGGGAGCCGTGTGCAGGGCCTGAGGAACAGGAGGCTCTGTGGCCTTATCAGAGAGGGTCTTGAGAACTGCTTCCAGCCATGACTGGAATAACAGGAAACAGATTTATCTTCCAAGCCTAATCAATGGGAAACACGAGAAGACGTGAAAACATGTGAAAGAAGTGTTTTCAGACATTGGATAAGAAGGAATAGGGACGAGTGCCTCAGAGAAAGAGAGCAGCTGTCTCCCACGTGGAGCCAGCAGCCAGAGAGCCTTGAAAGTTCCGTGTTCCAGGAGTCCGTGCACCTGCCGCCAAGCTTGTCAGAGTGAGCTTCGCCATGCAGCCCTCACAGGAGGGCCAGGCTCTGGTGGATTCCAGGCCCAGCCAGTGCCCAGGTCGGCACAGATTTCCTTAGTGCCAATATCGTGACACACTGAGAATCAGTTGACATATGGACTTTATAAAAATCAAGTTTTTATTCTCTGAAGACAGTACTAAACAAATAAAAAGGCAGATGAGAAGAAAATACTTTTAATACATATCATCTTCAATTCAACCATAAGACAAACAACTCAATGTTTTTTTTTTTTTTAAGGTGAAAGATTTGAACATCCATCACAAAAGAAGACATAAGAATGGCCAGTA